CATATCAATTAATAGCACTGTGTCTGATATGTTTATTAATTGATATGATTAAAAATTCATTAAACTTTGTAGACAAACCATTATTTTTAATGTAGCATTAAAACCTAATGGCATAGCAAACCGCGTATACGACAGGCTAGTATGTTAGTAGTAAATGAAATTTATTTAACATTGGTAAGACTGATTTCTATGTATTATCATGCCTATATATGGTCATGAAATAATATAATTGGCTGATAAACGCCTGTTTATAGAGTTCAATTAAAACTGAGTGTCATGATAAACCACGCATGCGACAGGCAGCATATGTATATTATTATTTAACAAAAGCCTTACTTCTATGTATTATTACGTCTAAATTTGATCATGAAATAATATAATTAATTGACAAAGTAATTGGGTTTTATGAACATCTATGTTTGGAGTATAATTAAAACACCTTGGCATGACAAATCAGGTATGCGACAGGCAGGATGGTACTAGTAGATAATTTATTTAATATAAGACTGATAACTGTGTATTATCACACCTATATTTGGACATGAAACAGTGTAATTGCCTGTCAAAGTAATTGGGTTTGTTAAAAGCCTATCGTTGGGGTATAATTAAATCTGACTGACATGATAAACCACGCATGCGACAGGCAGCATATGTATATTATTATTTAACAAAAGTCTCACTTCTATGTATTATTAAGCCTAAATTTGATCATGAAATAATATAATTAATTGACAAAGTAATTGGGTTTTATGAACATCTACGTTTGGAGTATAATTAAAACACATTGGCATGACAAACCAGGTATGCGACAGGCAGGATGGTACTAGTAGATAATTTATTTAATATAAGACTGATAACTGTGTATTATCACACCTATATTTGGACATGAAACAGTGTAATTGCCTGTCAAAGTAATTGGGTTTGTTAAAAGCCTATCGTTGGGGTATAATTAAATCTGACTGACATGATAAACCACGCATGCGACAGGCAGCATATGTATATTATTATTTAACAAAAGTCTCACTTCTATGTATTATTAAGCCTAAATTTGATCATGAAATAATATAATTAATTGACAAAGTAATTGGGTTTTATGAACATCTACGTTTGGAGTATAATTAAAACACATTGGCATGACAAACCAGGTATGCGACAGGCAGGATGGTACTAGTAGATAATTTATTTAATATAAGCCTGATAACTGTGTATTATCAAGTCTATATTTGGACATGAAACAGTGTAATTGCCTGTCAAAGTAATTGGGTTTGTTAAATGCCTAATGTTAGGGTTTAATTAAAACTTACTGACATGATAAACCACGCATGCGACAGGCAGTATGTTTCTAGTAGGTACAGGCTACATGTTATTGTTCACATTATTTAAAGTACATTACAAATTGGTAGAATAAATTCATGTAACTTTGTCATAAACTTATTCAATTAGCGATAATGTGCAAGATATTTTATAAACAATGTCAAGGCTTTTTGGTCACACCATATAAAAATAGTCAAATAAAGAGATAGTACTTTAAGTAAAGAACAAATCACATACGTGGAAGTATTTGAGATAAATTTTAAGAATTATTTCAAAAATTTCTGAATTTATTAATTCTTTATTTTATTGAGTATAGACATAATAAAAAAAGGCTTTACAATGGTCTACTAAATTCCTTATTATTTGCACCTTCAATAGAATAATGCACTGATTTTGCTCTGGCTAATTTTATTGAAGAGGGACAGAGTGAATTCTAGGTAATGTCAGTCCTAATTAGTACTCAATATGAAATCACCCCTTTCTGCTAATTTACCACCCCAAATAACCTGTTTCCGGGGTTGTAAAACAAACGTTATCCGCATGTTTACTAAGTCTGAACATAGTTTGCTGTTATAACCTTATAATAAAAGCATTTCTGGTTTTCGCCAAATACACGCACGTGTGTGCACAAGTTACTGCTATTTTAATCAAATTTCAGAGGGAAATGAACATATGGCCTACGGGGCGCCAAAACATAAACGAAACTGTTTTACATGTCATGGTGACTTGGCCCCCTGATAAGACTACAGGTGGTGCCTGCAAGGGTCGATCGTTCGATTGCCCGAAAGACAGTTAAATAATTTGCATGAAAACGGTAAATGTACCCCGAAAATTAAAGCCGTCAATTATTACTTCAAACGGCGCCCTTTGACATGCAAAGACCTTGAACTTGTACAATAAATACAATAAGAAATATAATAATATCACGGCATGTTTTAGAAATAAATTAATCTACTTATTCGCCATTTCTTCTCTTTAGTTTGGATACATATGTGTATAAGAATTAGAGCCAATAAGGGTTGTAAGGTTTTATTTTTGCCAATGTTTCGCTTTTTGTTGAGAATTTTTTTCAATGTTACAATGTTTACGGTTAGTAATTACCACTGTGTTAAAATTTGTAGCACTAATTGCACCGAACTAATTAGGAGTTAACTAAAGAACCTAGTAAATGTTAAAATATATTTAACAATTACCTTTAGTACTGAAAAAGTCTCACAGCACGAGGAGAAACGTTGGTGTCGGTTCCACACCACAAATAAAACCTTACAACCCTTCTTGACTGTGATTCTTTTACACATAAACCAATTTCTATTTAATAGAAATAAATACTAATTTCCGTGAACAACAACCATTTAGACAAAATCTTCATTAACATTATGATAAATCACATAAATTAAGGAAGTCGTTTGTAGAAGTAATTGTAAGATGGGTGAAGCAAATTATATTGATCTTTCCCGTGGAAATTTGTCAATTAGAATATGATCTACAGCAAATTAGATAGAAAGTACAGATGTATTGGCCCATCGTATACTAAACAATAACTTTTTGTGATATAGATGTAGTCCAATTTTTCCAAGAAGATAGAAACATTTGAAGCAAAAATTCCTAATTTTCAAAACCTGGGTTTTAGAAGTAAATCCTATAGGAATAAGGTCAAAATCAGTTGAGAAGAATCTGAGATATAAAAGGAATAAGAGGTGTAGAAGAGTGATAATAACTCAAAAAGCTCTGGCGCGTTCTTAAAGCTCTTTGGAGACCGAATTGTGATCAAGCATGCCATAATTGTGTTATTGATACAGAAATTAATAAAATCACTTACCCGAATTTGTTCCAATTCCTGTAACACTTATACAATTTACTTCAGGTAGATAACAGCGGAGGGGTAAGGGGGTAGAATGTGTAACGACCGATTTTTAATATAATACAGCTGCCTCAAGCTAAACATCCTCCGTTCCAACAGTCGATCTAAATATATTTCGCAAAAGAGATGTATTCGCGCCACTGGGTATTATATTTCAGAGAGAATTAGATTAGCTATTGTTAAGTGGAAGTAAGGAAGAAAGAAAAGGTTGGGTCAGGTCGGGCGAGTCTTATCACCTGGTCTCAGTTCCCTGCGTCTGATATTCTTAAGCTACCCTGTCTCACTCGCAACCCCTGTATGTTTATATCGAGTTTTTCTTTTCCTCACCGGGAGATTTTTCGAGAAGGGCGCGACGAGCCAGTTGAACATACTTGTATATAAAAAAAGTGCATTCTAGCTCGCAAAAATGCTGTGAGCTTTTATTTCGTTGACGTCTAAATACAGATTCCGTTGGGCTCATGACAAAAAAAACAAATTATTGTGGTTTCGCACTTCACTAACTACACGGTTTGGACAACAATCGTTTGCGGAAGTCGTTAGCTGAACGTAAATGAATATCCTTAAATCACAAAGGATATTAATTTCTCATAAAAATAAAAAAATATTTGGATAATATTATAAATAGTTAATAAATTTACTTGAACTATCAAATGGTTCGGCGCCTCCACCACATTTTTCATAATTTTCCAATCACTTAAAGATTGTTAAAAAGATGTTTGTAGGACGGCTCGGTACGGGTGCGAAACGTGGATGGTAGATATGGCGGAAAACAAAAGGTTAGAAGCTTTCGAAATATGGTGTTACAAGTAAATGATGAGGATAGCGAGGATATAGAAGATTATTGTTCAGAAATAGTTAAGGATGTGGTACGTTCAAGTTTTAGGGAAATGGGAAAATTGGCTCAGGGCAGAAAAACTGGAACCGCAGGTCTAGACTGCTTAAGGCTGCCGACTTTATGATAATAGTGATGAAGATTCTTGCGCTCGAGGTCAAATACAAATCAATCAACTATTATTGAATAAATAAATTGATATAGGTACTGGTTGTAGAAATAAGCACGTAACTTTATATGCTACTTAAACTGCGTGTATTGCAAAGATGAAAGTTTTGCTTATTGGTTTTTCACATATTGTGATTTAATTGCACTACCGAATTTTAATCTTTGTGGATAATTTCTCTAGCAAATAATATTAGTTATAATTTATTATACGCGTTTCTTCAGTTTCCATCCTCTTTGAAGGCATTCAAACACCAATTAAAAAGATAAGCAAAAAGAAAAATACAAAAAGTTCGTAACTTACCCCATTAAGCTCTTTGCGGTGTGGACTGCAGAAATACTGTAACAGAAAAGAAAATAAAATTAAAAGGACATTCGTCATTTGAAAATTTTTCAATGAGTTGTTCTTTATTAGACACAAAAAATATGACAATTTTAACAATAATTCAGGCAATTATTATAGGAATACTTTATTTTAATAATCTATTTCTTTTGGAATAAGCATCATTTCTTTTTGGTTATTCATAAATATGTTACTACCAACTTCATCATCATCATAAGGTCGTCAGTTCTAAGACTGGTTGGACACGTACCTCCACTCTTTCCTATCTTGAGCTAAACTTCGCATTTCCCTAAAACTAGAACAACCCACATCCTTAACTATTTGCGAGTAGTAATCTAACCTAGGTCTACCTCTACCCCTCCTGACTCCTGTTTATAACACCACATAACACTACCAATTTATTCCCAGTAAAAGATGACCAAAAACATAATTAATAAAAATTCAAATTGTTCACAAATAAAGTTGAAATCAGGATGTCTGCTATAGGTTAATAAATTTTCCTCAAAAGTTTGATCGGTAAAAATATTAGACATGTTTAACGGTTTCGTTAATATGCATTTTGTATGTATATTATTCATTAAGGTTTCATTCGTTTTCTAAATTGTTTTTTAGGGCAAGTACCTTTACTTATGCCACGAATTACCGCCATATGCCACTACTAGACGTTTATGCTAACGAAGACAAATTGTAGCGATGAATTTTAAGTAGACCTGAACACCCTTATTAATTTCCTTTGTTTACTGAAAACGAAAACACTACCGGAATTGGTTAGACTTCTTTACCTTCTATTTTATGACATATGTCGTTTAAGTCGATCTATAAGAAAAGCAGTAAATCTATTTATTAGTAGTTTTCTATCAATTTGCTGATAACTGGGACAGTAATACCACAGGAGTGGACTCATTGATGTAAAAACTTTCTTAAACTCCTAAAAAATTAGTCCAAACAATAAGGGTTGATAGAAGACTAATATCTCAATATACTTTGTTGATCTTTTTAATGGTAAAGGACTCTGGAAGCTTCTTCTATTTTTAGAAACTTTCTGAAAATTTTATTCCCAAAACTTAACTAAATATCATGCATAGTTCAAGAGATAATTGTGCTTGTAAGGGGTAAATTCTATTCTTAAAGAGTATAATTAAAAACATTAGATGTTTCTATAGAAGATTTATTTGTAATCCGAAGAAGAAGACGTCACACTTCGATTGTTTATTGTCAACACAAGTCTTTCTTTCAGAAATTTCAATGTTGAAGTGGGTTGTAAACAGAAAATCAGTGTCGGGAAATCAGCAGGCATCAGAGCAGCAGAAGAGCCACAGTTTGAAAAGAGAAGCTCACCCACAATCAGAAAATACCCCGAAACGAAGAAGGTTGAAAACGCCTACTAGAAAGTCCAATACAATCGCTCGCCTAGGGACAAAAAGAGACAAAACTGTTTCACATACCGAAAAAGAAAACCAAAATTCTCTCGGAAATTTATTCTCACCTACAACAGGATTCAGTGTTCAGAATCCTTTACGCGATGTGAGCAATTTTACACCTTCGTGTTCCGTTCCCTTGATGAAGTCTGCAGGATACAATGCAACAAACAATATTTCCAGTTCTTTTGCGTGTGATGGGTACAATAGTAGAAATTGTAAATGTAGATTGTTAGATTTATGTTACTCCAGCACCTCCAAATACTCAGTTACCTGTTACTGCAACGAGTGGCTCAAAAAAGAGGAAAAGACTGCACCAACTTTACCATCTTTAGCTGCAGAAGATTCACCTTGTATATCTAGGACGTGCAAAGTTACTTGTAATTGTCAGGACATTCAGGATGATTTTCTTTCAAAAAATTTTACGATACCATCACAAACCAAACTGATAAACAAGCCAACAGAAAAAGAGGAAGAAGACAATGGTACAGTACCTTTCAAAGAGCAAAATCCTTTTCGTGAAAGCAGTGCGAAGGACGATGATCCAGAAGGATGTAATGATGATTTTGCGAAGCATTCTCCTGATGCAAATTTGAAAGAGGATGCTTCGATGTCTGAAGAGAGAAGAAGTGAAGTATCTCCATTGGTTGAGAAGTTCTTTAACCTTAATTTCAGTAAAGTAAGTGTTGAGGAACACCAAAAATTCATCAACAACTCGTCCTTGATTAACAATTTATCATTAGACGAGATAGTTAATGCAGTGCTTGATATATCCACAGAAAATAGTATAACAAAAGGAAGAAAAGAAGATCTAATAAAAGCATCTTCATTTGAAAAGGACAGTGACAACAACTATAACGTTCAGGACAACGTGGTGAACTCGAACCAAGAAGAACAAACAGCACCATCAACATCAACTGGTTGCAACTCAATCGATTCCGGGTTTAGCGGAACGTTCGACAGACAAGTTCACGAAATAGACACCAACTTTAAATGCAAATGTAGAAAAAAGAATCATAAATCGAGAAGGCGAAATTGCGTTATGGGTTACAGAAAGAATCATTGTAAAAGTCGCTGGGATCGAAGGAGAACTCTTGAAGCAGAAAATACTTTGATAGAACTTAACAACACCTTCAACGAAAGAAGTGTAGATGTGTGTAATGGCAACAATAAACGGAAGAGGCTTTCAAACAGAAAAAACGAAGTCAATACTTCACGCGATAACAATTCCTCTTTTACACTAAAACGACAGAAATGTATTAGACGACGTAAAACACTTTCTAATGCCGATTTAAAAAGCAGTAAAAAATCGGCACATCAAACATTACAAGGGCCGCTAAGTGAAAGAAGTCAGTTTTGTTCTGATGGTAATTTTGGAAGCGGGCAATTGAAAGAATCGAGGGTTTCAGACGAGAGGAAGTCTAGAAGATGCTTGGATTTTTATTCACCAAATATCAGCGAGTCCTTTTGCAATGTCGGTGGATCGTCGACTCCCAAGGCGAAAGTTGAGAGTGAAAAAGAGCAGGGATCCGTCGATTTGGAGTGTTATTATCGGGATGGAATGCTTGGAGTTCGAGGTGAGGAAAACAATACTGCATTGTAAATGTATTAAACTGAATTAATTTTTTGAATTAATTGTATCACTAGAGATTCTAACAATCTATGTGATAAAAAGATAATTGCATTCTGATTTTCTTTTTTCAGTACATAATCGTCATACGCAAGGGTGGATAGAAAACTCAGGGCAATCTGTTTACATAAAAGTAAGTTTCAAATTGTTATTTCCATAGAATTTCTGCAGCTTTAAGAATTATTATTACATGAGGACAGCTGTACTTGTTTAAATGTAGTTATCGTGTATGTAATTAAAATCATGCCTTTAAGCGATTATAACATCGGATAATCTGGGTATATTCACATGGCATTTAGCCTAAAGGAATTATATGTATATTATTCTGCGTACTGATCACAACTGATACCATATTTGAGTAAATTTCCATGTTTTCTATGCCCTAACAAGAGGCTTGCTTTAATATTAAGCAATTACGAAAATTGTATCTACTAAAGAATATGAGACAGTATTCTTAGTTATTTCCGAACAGACTTAAATTCTACAGAAAGATAACGATTATTATAGACGTAGTAGTTTCAAGAACATTCATCAATTTGTATTTTTTGGCACAACCCTGGTAAATACGATAACGATTCCGGTATTTTTCTGTCAACAGATAGTTGTTAAACCCTTAAATAAAAATGAGAAAGAAGACTCATGTTCCCACAGGACTCAGCTAAGGAAAGAAGTTTGCAGTTCCCTATTGAACTACACCTTCCAATTTCCTATCAAGGACAGCAATCTTTTAGAAGCCCTTCGAGTAGAAGTTTGGCTGAAGAATACTCAAGCAAGGTAAGACTTTATTACCCAAATAAATATAATCAATCAACTGAAAATAATGTAATTTTGTTTTGAATTACCTACTTATCGATTTGTTTCTTCGTCCAAATTACTACTGAACGATTCTGTATTGTATCTACATTTAAAGGCAAATCAGACATGTCACACATGTGCGAGGGTAAAATGTAGAAATAGAACAGAGCAAGTGGCTGTTGCCCCAATTGGAACGATGACGTAAAACACTGACGTCAGATGTAATTGCAAACTGGAGCTTTCCTTTTTTTGATAATAAAACTCAGAAGTCCTTTGCTGCTGATCGATTTACCGCGGGCGGACTTTTATGTATAAAACTTTATATAGGGTGAGTTATCTATCAAACAAAGAAGTCCATGGTGGTTAGTATTCTATCGAAACTGTCAGACGCGGATCGCGATTTCGATCTTGTTGGACCTCATCAGCAGCGGCGTGGTAAACGCCATCTGTAGTACAATGCTACAGGGTGAGTCATGGCTATTGAGACTTAGAGTAAGTGCAGATAATTTGGATTAAAATGTGAAAACAGTGGAGAAAGATACAGGGTGTTAAAGGTGACATACTATTTTCGTTTTTAAGGACTTTATATGTCCCAAAAAAAAAAGAAATCTATTGGGTTTTAATCGGGACTTCTTGGTAGTTATAGAAAGTCACTTGCTCTGCTAAATCATCGTTGAGAAAACACTTCATTAAGATGATTTCTAACCCCTACTGGATAATGAGACGGTGTTGACACATTGTTCTGTTTATATTTAGTGGAAAATTATTTAAATGTTATCATATCATGTTTTATAATCAAAATTATTAAAGAGTTTTGTCCAAAAAATGCATGACCCAAAGACTAAAATAATAATCTCACTTCTAACAATGGTTGACTTCAAAAATTAACTGTGAGAAAGTTGACAACTTGTTGGAGGTTGTTGCTCGCGAACGGTAAATTTAGAAATTCGAAAAAGGCTGTTAAAGGTGTATGTTTGGAGCACGGCGTTGGACGGGTGCAAAACATGGACTGTAGGCGCAGCGGAAAAGAAAAGGTTAGAAGCGTTCGAAATGTGGTGTTATAGGCGGATGATGAGGATAACGTGGGTATAAAAGGTTAGAAATGAAGAGGTATTGGAAAAAATAGGAGAACAGAGGACTCTATGGAAGTCAATAAAAAATAGGCGAGATAGGTTAGTAGGACACCTTCTCAGGCATGAAGGTCTAGTCAGAGACATATTAGAAGCAGAAACAGGAGTTAAGAGGGGTAGAGGTAGACCTAGATTAGATTACTGTTCGGAAATAGTTAAGGATGGGGGTTGTTCTAGTTTTAGGGAAATGCGAAGTTTAGCTCAGGATAGGAAAGAGTGGAGGTACGTGTCCAACCAGTCTTAGGACTGACGACCTTATGACGATGATGATCTTGCACCAATATTTAGAATGCACCTTCAGGATGGATGCAAGATGTATATTATTCCACTAAAATAAAAGGACTTTTCGTGGAGATTGATTTTGCAACGTAAGCGGTTGAAATCTTGGACACAGCTAGTTTAAAATACTACTCTCACAATTATTGACATTATTTTCTTTAAAAGTCACGACAAGCTCGCACGTATGACAGAAAATTTCAGCATTGAAGTCAATTATTGTGTCGATAAATAGAAACATGAATTTTGTACTAAAATATGCTTTAAATTCAAAAAACTTATATTTAAACGATCGCTATAACCAAGGTAGTAATAAAATAAATGAAACTGTATAACTTCTACAGCGTCTATAAACAATATGAGATATTGTTGTTGATATATATACAAACGGGATTCATTCGTTGATCCTGAAATCCCGCTGCTGTTCGCTATCCCACGCCGGTATCTAAAACCGTCCGCAAATTAAACGATTTCTAATTTAACTCCGAACTGCTGGCTTTGATTACCATAAAAGGTTAAAAGTTTAATAGGGAATCGATGTTACCGAAGCGGATTTATATATTCTCGTTGAAAAAGGTTGAAAAGTAGTCTCGGCGAATGGAAGGAGGGTCGTAAAAGGTGCTCGTAACGTGTTTCATTCGGTACTTTGAAATGGAGTTATTACTATGACATAATAAAGTATGAGAAAAGTTGCGTGCCAAATGGTCATAATGGGGCGATGTAAACGACAATTTCCGTTTGCGAAACGAACGAGTACGACGGTGGAAATCTACGAGCAAACAGCAAATTCCGAATTAAAAATCACCTTTCAAGACAATCACGAACGTAAACTATGAAGGCATGTCGCATTTGTGTTGTGTTTTGTTTTTAAAACTACTCGAAATTTTGTTAGACATAATTTTCTACCTCATCTTCCGTTTTGGCTACTCCACTCCCTAACCAGAAGTTTTATTCTGTTATTTACTACATCGCGTTAGCACAAAAATAATTGAACATTTCGAGTTAGAAGAATTACATACTATTAGTCTATTTACGCAAAACAAAAGAATTATTTACTANCTAACGAAAACCGTCAATAAAGAATTGCTTAATGAACAGCAGAAAGAAGCCGACGAAAATGTTTTTCTGAGGTAAAATAAATTAGTTTAGTGTACGAATTTTCTTATTGAGGATTTTGAATGAAATATCGATTTTTCTTTTTCCATTGGAATATGGAACATTTCGAGTTAGAAGAATTACATACTATTAGTCTATTTACGCAAAACAAAAGAATTATTTACTGCATGTGTATATCATGATCTGAACTGTAAGACTTGCGCGTTATCTGGTGGGCAATTGTCTGCTTATAGTGGAAAATATTTCGCTATAACCAAATGGTAGCTAAAAGTCGCTAAATTTTCTGATAAAACTTCCGAAAAACTCGTTCTATAAGTAACTCAAAATCTCATGGGTCGAAAGGTGGGTTTTATCGAATTCGTATTGTACATCGCAGATATTTGTGCCCAAGGCTCATGAGATTCTTAAGTAGCTCTCATAATAAGATCGTCAGTCCTACGACTAATTGGACACTGACCTCCAGTTTTTTATATCCTGAGCCAATCTTCACATTTCCCTAAAACTAGAACATCCCACATCCTTAACTATTTGTGAACACTAAACTAATCTAAGTCTACCTCTATATTCCTGTTTCTGCTTCTAATATGTCTCTAACTAGACCTTCATGCCTTGATTTTATATTGACTTGCATAATGTCCTCTGTTCTCCTATTATTTGTACTAATACCTCTTCATTTCTAACATTCTCTATCCAATTAATTCATTAATCCAGCTTCTCTCTTAGATCACATTTAATTTTAATTTCTTTTATTATTTTATGGTGTTATCTCCTAATAACCTATGCTACTCGTAATTTTGAGATAAGTAAACGAAATTATGAATTATGCCGAGCGCCTTCACCATATACTTTTTAAAAAACAGAAAGATTTTTATGCAATTTTGCTGTTGCATCATTAAGTACAATATCTCGTAATAAGTATATAACCTTTCAAGGATTTGAAACTCTATGAAAGACCATAACAGTAGAAAAACATTAAAATTCTTTTACGATATTCCATAAAATTTGATGTTTACACCTTTTGTACCATCACTGAATAGTGAATAGTTTACACCTATATGAAGGATTTCATGCTCCATATTGTAGAAATTTACTTTAGACAAATGCAGAAATTCTAAAAAAGATATCGGTCTACCATACGAAATTACAGTTTAGACTTAATATTGAAAAAATGCCTATAGCAAAGAGAAGTTGAGATCTAATATATACGTAATTAATAATTATTTCAGTATTGTTACTTAGTAAGGATTAGATATTAATAATAAGGACTACGATAATTATTATACAAAGTGTACCGCACGGAGACCAAATTGGACTTCCTGGAGAAGAGTGTACAGAGTCCTGAGTACAACAAGATCGAAAATATCTAAAAATTAATAGAGGTACTGTCCACATTACTAAAAATTAAAAATCATGTGAAACATCATGTAGGTACGTGTATTTTTGGTGTGGTGATTATTAAATTAAATTTAATCTTCGGCTTATCCTGTAACATTTATAATTAGTCGTTCATCCTGGTCCTGTATTTTCGGTGGTCGTGTGTCTGGTGTTGTGTCAAGCCTCCCTCGACTTGACTACTACGTATTTGTCTGCACTAGCGCGCGCAACCCCCTGATGTGGTCCCGTTGTAGCTTTCCGCGATCGATATTTCGACATGACCCTTATTTTCCGACCATGAGGCATTTTCTCATTCGCGACCACTGAGGACAGGGAAAGCTTGGCCGGGTGCCATCGTTGACGATCTTCTGCGAAGAAGAGGTCCAACGCGAGGCATTGAAAAGTCCACTCTCTCCTTCCCTGTCCTTCAAAAACATACACCACCACGAGTTTCGGTTACGTAAAAAGGAATAGAAAATTCGTGGTCCAAATGAAAAATCTGCCTTTGTGGATTTAATATAATACAAGCCCAGCGTGAACTAGTTTAACGAGTGTCTTTTGGGAGTAGAGATTAGTGATTAACCCTTGCTGTTGAAACTAAACTTGAAAATAATAATTAATCTGCAAATAGTTTATTGTGCGAATTTAACGGTAAACAGAACATTTTTTTAATGTGACAGGACCTTGCAGTTTTGTAATTCCGATCGAACCTGGAAGTTTTCGTAAGTATTATTTATATAATTGTAAAGCCTTTTTTGCAAACTGTAGAGACATGTATCTATCAACGAATGATTACGCAATCGAAACATTACAATTTACAGGAACAAGCTGCGCTAATTTTTTGAATTATCCTTTTACAAAACATATGCCTAATACTGAATCCAAAAAGTCCTATTTCTCTTTTATTCCTTACTCCAACTATTGATTATATATTTTAATTGGTTTATATCGAAAATTGCTTGTAAAACAAGGCGCTTATTCATTAAGTGTGGTGTTTCATATTTATTTATTCTAACAGATTAATATAATTGGATTTGTCACACACGTATATGCGTTAAGAATCCTTGACGTATCTCTTCCTTGTATAGCACCACCTGTACGATTTTACAAACGGTGATCATTCATAATACAATGCTACTCCATTTTACAATTACACTACAAGGACTGCTACAATGTTCATGTTAATAAAAGAATGAATAAATAAAAGCTGCATTTGTTTTTTAACACTTAAATCAACCAACAACTCCATAACTCTGGAGAAGGAATCCTGAAAATGCTTTTAGTTGGATCAAGCATTTGTATTTCTTTTAGAAAAACATGAAATAATTGAAGTTCCTGTTTTAATTAATAAACGGTATTGTTTTCTGTAGGAGGAATATTTGTAAATAATCTGGCTCTAATTAAAAAAATTTAGCTCTGGTTTATCCTATTTCTTCATTTTTTATGTTTTTCAAATGTAATTTAAAAAATCGCTCATAAAACTTGGTGATACCTCTTGTAGGCTTTGATTATACCTAAAAGGAATTAAGGATATTGAAATTCTGTATCTTTTTGGTTTCAGACAGAGCAAATTTTTGGGAAGTACCTGTTTTTTCATTAAAGATGCAGTTGAAGAGGTGAGATATACATAGTAGGTTGCTGCTGTTAACCACCTGTTTATTAGGTGGTTGCTTAAGGAAAATAAATAATAGTAAATATAATAATTCTTCAATCAATCGTCAAATAATCGAGGAATATACCAAATAATAAAAGTCAAAGATTAAACAAATAATTAATAATTTGTAGGATTTTGTTATTGGATTTCCTTAAGAGTTTTCTTTACATTATCAAAATGTTAGACGTTTGATCATAGAGCCAAATTTAACTTTTTATTTATTAATAATTTTATTTATTAAAGAATTGAGTTTTTGTTCTGTCTATTTCTATACATGTTTTCCTCACCAAAGCAAGACCCTGGTTCCTCAATTCTTCTATCAACTCAACGGTTTGTTCCTACTAATGAAGAAATAATAGTCGATACAGCATTACGAGAAACAGAAGAGTTCCCAACATCAACAACTATTCAACGAACAAGAAAAATGAACAATAGCCAATCCACTAATGAAGAAATTATTAGTTTAGATGATCAAGACGAACTAACGAAAACCGTCAATAAAGAATTGCTTAATGAACAGCAGAAAGAAGCCGACGAAAATGTTTTTCTGAGGTAAAATAAATTAGTTTAGTGTACGAATTTTCTTATTGAGGATTTTGAATGAAATATCGATTTTTCTTTTTCCATTGGAATATGGAATTTATAATGCAAGGTCTAGGTCTTTCTTACTACTAAATAGCCCAAACAAAATATAAACAATATATACAAAAAGGCAATTCTAAAAATGGAAAAATTTTAAAAATTATTATTGACATATGATAATGACGTCAATTTTCTGTGCATTTACTGCAGCTAAAATAGAATGAAATGAATAACAACCGAATGTATATGAAATGCGATGAGAAGATACAAAGCGAAGAAACAATTTGAAAATTACATTTTCCAACAGTTTAAAAACTTTACATATAGTAATATTCTATTTCCTACGTAAGCGGCGTTGACGTCACATGCGCAGGGTGGTAATTAAGTTATATTTTCATGAGTCTGTTAGCTCGGAAATAAACGTTTTTTTTTCATTTAATTCTAACTGGAAACGCCTGCAAATTACTATTGATACAATTTTTTATTTTTAGAAACCAGAATATTAATAGATACATATTAAGATAAATGTAACATTAATGGTGATCCAATAACTGAAAAATTGACAGAAAAATTGAGAAACTTTTTTAAAGTTGCATCACTACCTAAAAGAACAAACGAATAATAAAAAAATTCAGTAGGTACAATTTGCTTCTACGAGGCCTCGATCTCGAGTTATTTACAGAAATACTTGGTGTCTATTCGGACAATTTTTGACTCGCCATTCAACCTTCTCTTCCTGGAAACATTGGGTAAACCCCAATTATTGTTCGGGATGTTGTTGTAGGTACTATTAAAAATTTGGGCAGAACGACAACCAAAATTAAAGCTATTTCAGTAGTTTCAAATCATTTTTGGAGTATTACAAAATTATATTCAAGTCCTCAGAAAATAAAAAGAATTTAAGAATATCCCATGGATACTCTAACAAGCAATGCTGAATTGTTATGAGGTTACGATCTATTCTGTGCATTTTTTTACATGATTTATTACCTGTGTTAGAGGTACTGCAAAATCTCATGAGCCTTCTCATGACGGTCGATGTTTTTGACAGGTAGAAATCAATGAACCAACGAAGCTTAATGATTGCGCCGCGCAAGAGCAAGGCTCATAGAATTCTGAACCACCTCTACAAGTAGCTACAGTGTACAATTGCTATTAGTTTTTGAATAAATTCGTGTATACTATGGCAATACTGATCACTTTCTATTTATCAACATTTAGATTCATTTAACAAGATATTCCCAAAGATTCTCGAGACACTCAGTATATAGATAGATATAAAAAGGCAATTCTCAAGTCTATATTACGCACTAAGAGATCGCTTAGAAATTCTACCACGAGGAGACTGTTGGTTTTGTGAAATAGCTTTCAATGTTGACTCTTTTGTTGCATGTCTCTCTACCAGGTATCTAGAATTGGATCCAATGGAGGGACCAGAAGCAATTCCCGCTGCTACGCAAAGGAAAGCGACCGGGAATAAAAGTGGCAGGACGCCGTTTACATCCACTAAAATATTAACGAAGATCCCTAAAACGAGCTTCGGCTTTTCAGTCGTCTGGACGCACCCGCCTCGAGTCGAGAGGATAGAAAAGGGATCGCCTGCAGAGAAAGCCGGGATGATGCCGGGAGATTATATCATTTTCGTTGATAAGCATAACGTCGTCATGATGCCGGAAGTCGATATCTTGAATCTCATTAAGTAAGTTCCTGGTTTATTTGCACGAGCGATCGACTCAAAATTTCATGTTAAAACTGAACATAACATGATGTACCATATCGATACTATAGGGTTGTTCGGAAAGTCATTTCGTTTTTTTTTTTGTGGAAATGAAAGACAGTTTTCGTATAATAAACAAATACTTTATTAAATTATATATTGACCGTTCTGGTCCAACACCTTTTGCCATCTTTCTGGTAGTAGCATAATTCCACGCTCATAAAATTTTTGGTCTTTGCTGGCAAAAAACTGATCGAGGAGGTTTTTGACCTCCTCATTTGAGGTGAAGGTTTTACCGTCTAAAAAATTTTGGAGTGACCGGAACAAATAATAATCCGATGGTGCCAGGTCTGGAGAATATGGTGGGTGTAGCATTGTATCCCATTCAAGCTGTAAAAGCTTTTGGCGAGTGACCAAACTTGTGTGAGGTCTCGCGTTGTCTTGGTGAAACACTACACCTTTCCTGTTGATTAGTTCTGACCTTTTCTGTTGAAGTGCATCATTCAGTTTGTCCAGCTGATGACAGTAGACTTCCGAATTAATCGTTGTGTTATCCGGTAAAAGCTAAAAAAAAACGATTCCTTTAAAATCCCACCAAACAGACAGCATCACCTTTTTTTGGTGAATATCGGCTTTGGAAATGGTTTGAGCCGGTTCATCTTTTTTGCTCCATGACCTCTTGCGTTTGACGTTGTTGTATACAACCCATTTTTCGTCCCCAGTGATGATGCGCTTCAAAAACGGATCATTTTCGTGACGTTTGAGAAGCGAATCGCAGACGTCAATGCGGCGACACAGATTTCTCTCTGTGAGAACATGGGGAACCCATACATCGAGCTTCGAGGATAATCCCAGGCCTTTCAAGTGGTCATAAACTGTTGAATTTGATAAATTTAACCTCAATCCGATCTCACGTGTTGTTATTCGCCGGTTCACATCAACTAATGCCTTTATGGCGTCTTTATCAGCTTCAACCGGCCTTCCCGAACGTGATGCATCTTCGACATCAAAATACTCCAAAAAACATATTTTGTACTTAAACCAAGTACTTCTAACCTAAAACAGTGACGACAATGAAAAGTATCTTATACCAAACTCCGATACTACTGTTACCATCTGGAGTTGAAAATACTGCAAAAATATTTAGTTACTCGCATAATAACACCTCAATATTTATTACAAAACTTTGTAAAAATATGAACAAATTCAGTTGTAGCCAAAAAAATAGCGACACGTTTCCTTCCAGCTGAATCATATAGGGTGACTTAAGTTCACCCTGTCGGAGCCACATATGCTCAAAAGAGTTATGTACATTAGCTCTCCCCTACTACAGCTTTGCGTCTCAAATTTTGAATTCTATTTTATTTATTCGTAGGTCATGTGGCAATCAGTTAACTTTAGAAATATTTCGAAGACATCCGTCCAAAAATGGCCCATCTCCTAATTACCACCAAGCGAATAAGTTTTCCGGAAGTACTAGCAAGTTACTTACTTCTTCGTCGGCATTAACCTATCATCGACCGTCTACAGTGGGCTCCACCCATACCACCAACCTTGCTTCCGTCGACTGCAACCGGAAGAGGTTGCATTTACCCCAAGTCACGTTTAGTTCTGAGGTTGGTAATGGTATAGTGGTGTAATTTCCATATGAATTTTCTTCCAATATCTACCATATTATTATCATCTGCGTTTAGAGAACCGTTCTTCCATTGTTTTAATAATTTACTAATTTTTGTATTGTTTATAATATTTTTTGTGCGCTCCTATATTTATTTTAAATGCTTTGGTTAGCCCCCAAGGAAAACATGTAAATTATTTATAGCTAGTGACCGTTTCACTTTTCCTTTGTGTTTTGCCTATTTTATTTTATGTAAAGACGACTAGTTATTAGTTTTTATCAGTGTTGTGTTTAATTTAATGTTGCTTTGCATTGTTTTCCGTTTATTTATTTAAATAAATGTTTTCTTTAGTTTTTCATCGTTTTATTTTATAAACGGTTTTTATTTTCATCAGTTCACCAATGTTTTAATTTATTTAAAACTAAAATACAGAAAACAATAATGGATCCGGAAGAAGCCCGAAGAAAAACCCTGTATCAAATAATTAATAAGGAACAAGCGTACGTAACGGAATTACAATTTGGAACCAACAGGTTTCTGTTTCCCTTAGCTGAAAGAAGAGACATCCTCAGTCCAATGGAGCATAGAATACTATTTCAAAATTTAGAAGAGGTAATTTCGTTTGATAAATTTAAGACATTATTAACAAGAAAAATGTAGAATTGCTTTCGCCTTTTAATGTATAGTACTCGCGATTTACCGTGACACAAAATCGATAAAAGTAGAACAGTCACTGCGCTGGAAAAGAAGTAGAGCTCACATTGACCAGTTTATAGTTTTAAAAAGACGATGACGTGCATTCTTCGCATGGTCTATAGGTTTAGACCATTGCTTAGCATTCGGGAGGACGCCGGTTCGATTCCGAGTCCGTCTGCCTTGGTCCAAGTTTTTCTGTGGTTTCCTTGGATCACCTAGGCAGATGCTGAGGCAGTAATATTCCACAGATAATCTTTCATTCTCTTCTGCCTTCATTTCGTCCGTCTCATCTTTCTCACCCGAACCACCACCCACCCATTCCCACGATTCCTGAAAGCAGGCTGAAGAGGNCCCACCCATTCCCGATTCCTGAAAGCAGGCTGAACAGGGCCTTCCGCCCTACCTTCCGGCATAGTCTGGAGGGACTGCCCGCCCACCAGCATTACTGGCTGATGGGAATGAAACACCCTTTAAAGTTTTATCATTTTCGACAACTTGCTAAGGCGGATGAAAGAGACCAGGTGCACACAAAGGTCAATAACGTTAAAAGTAACCACTACAAGGGTGTTTTCAGGTTTGCTTACTTTGTGTCACGTTAAAACGCGTGAACAATACATGCGTTTTGTTCGCATTCAAAAAGAAAACGTTGCTGCAGCCCTACCTACTACATTGCACCCGTTTGGGAATCAACCGAAATACTATTACATCAAAAAATTTTCAATCTGGTTATCAATTTTCTTTAAATTTTTCAGACAATAATTACTGAGATTCAAAAGACAATATTTAATACTCAAAACCATGACGATTTTTGTTTTTGGGGCACTTTTCTACTTTTTATTCATCATTATTTTCTAAAGTTTGTATTTCTTTTCATGTGATTTCCAAATAAAATAACATTTATGATTATACAAACGAATTTTCTGTATAAATAGTCAAAATAAAGGGCAAACTCTATAAAAGAATTATCAATTTAATTATTTAAATTATTCAAAAAAAGAGTTCCAGAAGGAAATTTTGGGATGTAAAAATGACTTACTTCTAGATTCTAAAAATAAGTGAAGACATTTTGGACAATATAGTCCAAGAAGACGGGGAACAAAGCATCCAAAATGTGCCGTTTGCATTCTATAGGAAATTAGCAGAGTTCACTACGGCCTACAGGAAGTACTGCTCAGGAATCAAGAAGGCCGATTGTGTTTTGGCAGATCGTACAAAATATGCAAACTCGGGATTCGTACGATTCCTACAAACGCCTCTTATTCCGAGAAAACGACCTGACATCACGGCCTTTATTCACAGACCTTTACAGCACTATAGGGATATTTTGAACTTGTTTAGTACAGCATTAGGGTATTCTAATTCCAAACATGACGATTACAATCATCTAGTCAAAATCGTCAAGGAAATGCAAGTATGTCCTTTATACTTAATTAATTATTATTATTAAAGAACATTTGAAGTTAAATGTTGGACTACTTTTTAAGGTGACTTATAGAAATATAACAAAGGAGGCTGGATTTATGGAACCAGGGGGTGAAGGGCGACTATTACTTTCCGTTCAAGATTTAGAAAATCGCCTTGTTTTCACAAAGTGTAAGGTAAGTCGTCCTACAAGTCAAAAAGTCATTCTAAATAATAATACAACTTCGAAGTTCACACCGTTCATGATCTACTTCAAATTTAAATTATAAAATCCTTATGACTCGTGTCATCCGCGGGACTATTCGAGGCCTAGGAGACGTAGAAATTTTTGACGCCGGACAGTCCGGACCTGCACCATACCAGACCAAATTCAACCTATTTACTCTCACTTTCATTTCGTCGGTTTCTTAATTCCACAATTTTGCCGATAATATTGGATTGAATGGTCCGATTCCGATGGGTGTGTCACTAACTTTATCTAGAGAAACCCACAATTCTAACGACGTACCGTTTCAATGTTATCGTCGACCAAAAGTTGATTTTGAAGAAAAAAAAATCTAAAATTTTTGAATTTTCTAACAGGATCAGATAAGTCCGCAGGCATCTCATGACATTGGCGGTGAGATGAGAGATACGTCTATTAAGAAAGTTTTCTAAAAAAGCTTATAGTTTTCCATCTATTGGCTAGCAGACAGTCAATTTAAAATAGACAAGCTCAAAAGCAGACCCGCGGTTAAAACTTCATAGCTCCGCAGTACGATGTCCTATCCGCACCAGACAGGACTCATTCGAAGCCCAAATGGATGTGACAAGTTTTTTACGTACAGAGTTCTAAAATCGGCCGCCCGGGCCTGTACTATAGTCGATCAAATGCTATTTATCCTTATTTTCTTTTCGTAAACAATATCGCCGATAATTTTGGATTAAACGGACCGACTGCGATGAGGGTAGAAATATCGCAAAAACTTTCGATTTGGACATCTTGTCTGTCTGAAAATGTTTAAATTTTTCGCAATCAAAAAAATATTTCTTAAAGTTCTACTAACTATCCTGTAGGTGTAATACAGGTCTCTTTTCAGCCTTTTATTTTAAATAAGCCAGGAAGACATTGGATATTTGGAGGAGAACTTTTCAGGGTAGAAGGGCGAAATATAAGACAATATTGGACTCTCCTTTTCACAGACATACTTCTATTTGCCAAGGTTTCAAGAGACAGAGTACTGTTTATCACCGAAGAACCCCTTCCCTTATCATACATAGCAGAAATTATATTTACAGTTAGAAAAAAATGTAAGTTTATAATAAACAGTAATTACAATGTATCAAATAATACATTTACAATAAGAGGCATATTTAGGAATTTATTAGCTTTCACTGCAATTTATTGTTTCCCTACATGCACAGTAGCATCACCAAGTGGTAAAATATATTGTTAAATATGAAAAGGTTACAGTTGATAAATAATGGGTAAATTTGATGGTGGAGAAATCTACAAGTTTAAGTTCATGAGGAACATTTGACATATTTTGATTGCGAAAATAGTCAAATAATAGTCTAGATACTTCCTAAACTCTAATATTTCTAAGAGAATCATTCACTACTCTTCTATTCATTTTTCGTTCTATCTTTCTTTTCCCAACCACCATCTATCTAAATCTAGTCCCAAAAGAGCAATTCTAAAGGATCTTCCCCTGTACCCTTCGGCTTTGCACAACAGTGCAGTGTAATGACAATTAGTCCACCAGCTTTGCAAGTGGGTGTGATGATGCTACAGTGTGGCAAAGCAATTGCACAGTGAAAGTTTGTAACTTAACACTTTTTTAGTGTTGTATTCGTAACCTATTAAAATTGGCTTTCAAAAATCAAATGTTTGAATAATCAACAAGCATATAATATTTAATTACTATAATTTCGAAATCAACAAATCTTTATGAATTGAATTTTCTTTCAGCTACTGAATTTAGACTTTTGGTCCAACCTGGAGGTGCTAGTGCCAAAAGTCCGACAGTCCATTGTGGCTTAGATATAACAAAAGCTCCTAGAAAACAGGGTGGAAAACGATGCATAGTTTTACGTGCACCTAACATAGAGTCCAAAGCAATATGGCAAAATTTATTGCAGAGGCAAATGTAAGTACTAACTGTTATATTACATTAGTTAAGAAACAATAATAAATAACGAAAGCCCTCGATCAAGTTAGTCAAGAGAGCTGAAAAAATGTAAAAGCAAATATAATACTATTGCATTACTCTATTTTCCAATAACGCCCTTTTTTGTTATTTGGCTATAAATTAAAACAACAATAAGATCTACCAGTAATGAAGACGTTTACTTAAGTTTTATAAATTTTCAGTGGAGTATAGTGAAGAGCGAAATTGATCTTGGTCTTGATCTAAATACAAGATCAATACCAAACAAACAAGATCAAGACTAAAACCAAGACCTAATATGTACGACCAAGACTAAATAGACTACATCAGCAAGAACAGGAACAAGTCTAAAACTAAAACCAAGCAAAGCCAAGATCAATAAAAGCTCATCATTAGTAGATTATCAATGATCACATTTTATTTATCCAACCATTCCATTCTGTTGTTTGCATGTCAACAGTACGTTATTAGTTGTTGTACCTAGTACCACTTAAAAGATGACAAGGTACCAATGTTTTCTTCCTGTGCAGTGCATGATAGACGTTTCTTTGATAGCTCCGGCTGATTATAATCTACCACGAATTGCAACAAGCCCTTCGGGTACTTGCCCAACAAAAAAATTGTTCAAGTACAAAATAAAAATACATATATTTGCAATTATGTAAATGTGATAGGAATTTGTCTGGATTGCAATTCTTTTGTTATATAAAATTTTGTTGTGGTCTGAAATGCAGTCGGAGCTATCAGTAGTGCATGCATATGATCTGGTTACTTAAAATATGCTCCTTTTATGCAGCTTTCGAGTAAATTCTGGAATGGAGAGCAGCACCTTTAGTAGTCCGTTAGAATCCCCCGAAGTTCCCCTAAACTTCTCAGCCGCTACACTACAATCGACCGACTCATTGAGCAATCGTCGACAGGTGCGTCTAGGTAACGGTCAAAGCGAACCCGCATTAGTGCGCAGCTGCTCGCTCAACTCCCTAAACAATTCCAGCATCCCCCTCACACCCGAAACACCATCAGCCAATCTCACCTTCTCGCATTCCACTATAATACACTCGAGATCGTCCCCGCCTCTTCGAGACAGTCCAATAAGATGCGCGAACCCCCCCACCAACTCTCCAAAGACTATAAATAGTTGCGGTGACACTGTTGTATTTGCTCAAAACGCCCACAGTCTCCCGTTGTTCCCGACGTTCGTCTTACCCACCGAGAATCCCGTTATCAGTTCACGGCTGTCCAATTCCTTGTCGCCGACCTCCTTCACCGATAGCTTTAACGAGGACGAGTCATTTTATCTGGAAGACATCCAGTATTTGCAATTCGACGCGCAATCGCGGTGTGAAAACGGCTTCTAGCTGCGACGACCCTTTACTTTTAAACAATATTTTTGTACTTTTACTCTAATGGTGCATATAACTAGCTGTGCTCGATTGTGATTTCAAAAAGTTTCAATGACTGCCTCTTTAACATGTACCTTAGTAGTTTTTATACTTTGTTAGTTTTTGACAAGAGAGTCTTTGTTACACCATGTGTAGGCTTCTTGTAGGAGAAAGGTTGAATAAACTATTTTTTATGAATGCGTGTCTTCTTTTAATCGCCAGTGGGAAAAGCTAATAGGCCGCTCTTTTCAGAACGCTCAGTATTCGAGCCAGTCTGACCCCTACGACTCACAGAAGCAGATACACGAGCTAATTGAGCACAAATGCAAACAACTGGGCAAGACGGGGGATAGGGGCAAGGGCACTGCCATTCATCTCGAACACTGGATGAAAAATCAACTAACTTCAATTGCTAACGCTTCTCCTGACGATGAACCTATTGACGAAATATGGTCCGAGGAACAATTGCGAAAGAGAACGCAGGAACTTCTCTCAGGAGATAGCGGCAGAACCACCGAAAGAAACGAGAGCAGATGCGAAAAAATGGAATTCTCTGACGTTAGTCCTTCCAAAAGTACTAGCTTTGAATCCCAGGTAAGGATAAAAGTCCTTTAGTATTACTTATCTCAACATTTGGACAAAACGCGTATCACATTTGTCAAATTATTATTCTCAATACTCCAATTCGAATATTGAGTCGAATGAATAGCCAAATGTTTACGATAACGTACTTTCTTCCATGGAAGAGAATTCCAAAAGGACATTTTGACACACACACAGGTTACCGTAAAATCCAGCCCAGTTGGTCAAGGATCTGTGAAAGTTTGCAAACAATGTCAGAAAACTTGCCTAACAAATTCTAACAATAACATAATGAACAACAATTATTTAAACAATCACGACAACAACGACATCGAATGCGGCAAACAACAACATTCGGAAAATCATGATAACAGTGATGTGTTTGAATTAGTCAATAACGAATGCGTGGATAGAAGTCATTTCGATCAAGTTCCGAAAGATTTGGACTTGGACAATGCGAATATTAAAAATAATAACGATCCATTTTTGCCAATACCTCGGATAAGCGTGAACCCTCCCACTCCAGATATGAGACGGAAGGTGCATAGAAATAACGAGGATAATTCCGAAGATGAACAATCCTTACAGGATCAATCAAGCGATGAACAAGTAAGGGTAGTTTCTTCTCAAACAGATAAAGTTAAAAAAATATAATAACAGCTTTCATTGTATTTTATTCTCATTCCTTTATCGAGAGATTTACCAAAAGGGGGGGGGGGCTACAATTAAACTGGTACTAAAACCAGCTGTAGTCCATTGAGCTAAAGAATTAATAGTCTCAATAGCTTTTATAATTACCATTTTAACACTAAAGGACTATGACCGAACACTCAGGGGCAGCTCAAATCGTTGGGATAAAGGGGCGAAGTCTCCCATAAAGACTTACTGTGTTATTAGTCATCAAAATCATGTCGTCAGCTTTAAGACTGGTTGGACACGCACCTCCACCCCTACTATTCTGAGCTAAACTTTCCATAAAACTAGAATATCCCACATCCTTAACTATTTGCCAACAGTAATCTAATCTAGGTCTACCTCTACCCCTCCTAACTTCCGTTATTGCTTCTAATATGTCTCTGATACCTTTCGAAATTCTAAATTAATCGTTCGCGTGCATAGAAGTGACTTATTTCTTCTTTATTGAAGGCAACTCGGCCTTGCGCAATCCTCTTTCTTATATCCCTACTACTCCTTCCGTCCTGACTTATCTGACTTTCTAGATATCAAAAATCAGCCCCTTCTTCTAATCTTTCGCCTCCTATTTTTATATTCGCTTTATGAATTAATAGTACCTTTAAAAAAAAGTGAAGGTGCCTAGGGATAAAATCGATCGTTCGTTTTTTCTGATCAATACTTTTGTCTTGAACTTCTTTGATCCCGTTTGGGTGGCTCCTGCGTTCGGTAATACTAAAATACCTTCCCCAAAATTAGAAATTTACATTTTATTCAGTTCCTTCTTTTCGAAACCACAAATTTCAGAGCGTTAATGAGAACAATGAGAGTGACGACGACGACGAGTCCCAAGATAATTTTCCTTCTTATGACGAACAGCCTTATCATGTATTAAGTAAATCGAATCCTAACTTGAGACGGTACGGTACACTCTCTAGTTTGAAAAAATTAGACTCTCAAGAGATCGAAGAAGAGGAAAACTCGGATAGCGACGAAAGCGACGAACAAGGAATCGATAATGAGGGCTTTAATCATTCAACGATCAGGAGCTGGACCTCTAGAGCTGGAGCGTATGTGTCTGAGAAAATTGCGTTTTTTGAACGGCTTGGGGAAGATTACAAAACGGGTGCAGGGTTTTTTGAACGGTAAGTAAAAACCGAACAATACCTTTACTACTTATTTATTTAAGATATTTATTGATATAATCCTTGGATAATTATGTTTCTGTTTAGAAAAAAAAAAAAACAAAACGTTCAAAACTACAATTTTTGTCTCATACGAACCTGTAACATCTGAAAGCTTTTCAAATTTCAATAAAGGTTTTTAAAGATCGAGTTACAGCTAATCCACCCATAAAATACGTCACTCAGAATTTTACCTTTTTGGATACCTCTCTTCCCCTTCATCGAGTTACGTCACAAAAGTCAGCGAACCCCTCTTTGTAATATGAGCGTAACATTATCTTTTGTGTGTTGTCAAAAAATCGATCGCGTCTTAAAAAATCTTTATTGGATACCACAGATTTTAATATAAACAAAACTAAAAGTACTGACACCACAATAACGCAATGACAAATGTTACCTCTATAACAGTTCGGTTTTTACAATCCAGGTATTTAAAAACGACGGAAGTTCATGAGGAAGAATGCGAAAATTCGGCAGCTACATCCGGTGAAGAAGTTTGGGGAACACCAACGAGTGGTGGGGATCTAGACGATCCATCAGTGTACTCCAATTGTGATGGACAAAGATCGGTTAGAAATTGTGAATGAATACTTAAAATATTACATTAGAACACGTATTGCATGTATTGCATGAAAAACAATTCTAAGTACATTACAGCACTTTATGGTTCAGTGTTTTCAATGGACTCTGCTTGTGTGTCTAACCGTTATGTAAAATATAGTTAGTTAGTTGATAGAGCAGGATTTGACTGTTTATTTTTAAAAATTATTAGTTAAGTATGGACTCAGGGTCTTCCGAAAACGATGACGACGCCGAACTGATAATGGACGAATTGTTAATGACACCACCGGTGGCGAGTGTAAATATTAGGGGTCTTCTACCCCGTACAACGTTAGAGCCTTTGATGGAAGAGGACTCAGACACATGTACATCTTCTTCATCTTCAACCGCCGCACAATCACCACTTTCGAAGCAGGTATCTATTTATTACTCAACATTTTCTGCGACAAGAAATTTATCGAATTCATTACCTTTTTTGCATGCTTTTGGAGTAGATTTAGTTAAACAAATTCACACTTTCAGTAGTGTAGCTTAGATTTATAAAAGCTCCTAGTTTGAATACGTAATGGCGGCTGGCGTGCGCCATATTAAATATTGTGTGACATAGCCTATCACTTACGTTGCGTGTAATGTCGAGAAAAATCCAGCAATAGAAACAACAGAAACGTTATTTCGACTTCGTGGTCCCCGGATTTAGGAAACTGAACTGGAATGTTATAATACACAACGTACAGTCAGTTATAACTTACGTTGATCTTACATGATTTGGTAGATTTTAAAACGATGTAATCTGTAATGATCTGGAGCAGTTTATATTGCATTTTCTATGTTCAATATCCAGCTGTTTGACTGGTAAACGCAATCTTTGAATTCTTTTGCAGTAGTTAATGTTTTTGTAGTTTGAAAGGAGATTATGTCAAAAGCAGCATTTAACTTTTTGGGTAGGGCAACGTAAATGGAACTGTTGCTGACGCCTGCTCTATTGTTGTAAAAAAAGAAGTGGCGATAGTGGAAAATCATATGGACGATGCGCGTCAAGTAGTCGAAGGGAATCCCAAATGTTTTACGTCAGCTACGTCGGAGACTCAACTGCGTATTCACCGCTCCGAGAGCTACCGGAACATCATAGACGCCGAAGACGAAGGCGTCGGTTTCTTCCGAAGACTAAATCCAACATTAGTCAAGATCGAAAATGTCAACAAATGCAGAAGTATTAGATTGTAGGTATTATCACACTTGCAACAAAATACACTCTAGTCTTTGATATTTGAGAAAATTTATGCATGTTGGATGTCGTTCAGGAAAATTTAGCCATAAAGAATTCAATTACAATCTCTTGCAAATTTTGGGTGTTAAACAGGCACGGTTCCTACTTTAATTTTGAATTTGATATTGGATATTAATTAAAACGATTGTTTTTGGCAAAAATCTGTCTTGTTTATTTAGGTTAGAAATTCTCAATGTTCGTAAAGGGGAAAGGAAGATTTACGAAACATTTCCCACGGAAACGGAAGTAATAAAGTTATTTAGCAAGGAAGGATCAACTTCCCACGATGTTCCGACTACCTATGGGAGGCAACCGCCTTTTTCACCGAAAAAACCTAAAGTAAGTTTTAATTACAATACAAAACTTATTACTACATCAGACAGTAATAAATATGAATCTATTACATATGTAAATGAAACTACCCCCGCTTACTAAATTAAGAAAATACTCAATTTTGTTTTATTGTTTCCAGATCAATATTGATTAATAGGGTCCTAGATTGGTTCGTATGCAATTGGTGTCAATTATTTTCACTATTCACTGCGTGAATTTTACGTTTCTTGTATTTGAAAGTCAAAAAAGAGCACATAACTTTTAAAAAACACCCTTAACACACCAGTCTATTTTTTACGATTCTATCTGCATAATTGTTGAATGATTCAATGAGGGTTTTCAAGGTCAAGGTTTTAATGAAACAATTTGATATAGGACAAACCATCCGATCGAAGATTTTGGAGACAGTTGAGTAGAAGACGAGGAAGTAAAGCAATGGATTCGGGGACCTAACAGAAAGTGGCGATTGCACGCTCTCCGTTCAGGAATATATTTAATAAGTGCTTTGGACGTTGGCGTTGGCTTAAGTGGAAGAATTTGTAACAAGAAAAAATACTCGTAGCTCAAAGCTTGAAATGTTCGTTGAAGTTGAAACTTTTAATCGAAGTTTTATCTTAAGTCCATCAAATGTGTGATACATTAAAAAAAAAACATTTTTTACTGTTACAACTCTAGACTATGGTTAATAAAAAAGGAAAAGAAAGCATCTTCGTATTATTAATTAATACCTATAATTAGCGATAAGGTTTTACGTAATTATATTTACTTAAAAGCATATTGCTACAAGGTTTTATCTCTCTTAGTTTCAAAAACGGGTAAAGGTCTAGATAATGGCGGGGATCGAAAAAGGAGGTCTCCTCCACCATTGTACCATAAAAAGTTCGTGGTGGTCTTACCCCCATAAAAACTTATGGGGATTCAAAGTTAATAAATATGTGAATAATTATATAGTCATTCTTAAACAATATTCAAAGGTAAAACTAATGAAAAATAGGCACTTGAATATTGTGAAAGTTATATAAAACATTATTTAAATATCTTTATCAATAGGGTAGGTTAGGTTAGGTTCACGGGTTCACCCTCTTTCGATCCCCCGCTTCCACCCGCTTGAAAATAATTATTTTATTGAATTTTATTTGAATTATAGTATATGAAAATTGTCAAAATAATCAACTTTCAACCCCCATAACTTTTTATGGGGGTGAGACCGCTACGAACTTTTTATGGTACAGTGGTGGGGGAGACCCCCTCTTTCGATCCCACCCACCATCATTTAGACCTTTACTCAAAAACGTTTCAAAATTTGAAAGAAGTCAAAAATGCTATTATACATTATTAAAATTTGGATACTTGTCTTTATATGCATGACGTCAAGCATAATAATAAGTCAGTAGGAGAAAACGACAAATTTGTCAAATTTTTGAGTATGTACCTAGTTGACTAACATAATTCAGATGATACTGGTAGCTTTTAGATAATGTACAAAATCAAAAGCTTGACTAACCTGATATGTATAAATAACTGGGTTCAATGATGCACTTATGTATATATTACACTAGTTCTTTATTGTTAGTATACACCACACACTCGATTTATCAATTTAATCCTTAACACCGCTAATTCCACACCTCACGACGCATGTGGTTACTGTCATTGAAATTCAAGCCGCAACTAATAGTGAAATGTACTCGATATTCAACCCCGAGGCATTCATCGTAAAGATTCGGTTCTTTATCACATAACCGAAGCTATAATTTCGTTCTCTTTCTTTATTACAATCTGTAAAGTGTGATTCATATTTGGTTATAATGAAGATAAATTTATTATGTTTTTATACGAGGATTATACTAAAAGTACTGAACAACGTTTGGAATATTGAAAAAGCCCATTTTTAATTTAAATTTTATTAAGATAACTTACGAAATTCTCAGTAGGATATTTTGAATATTTTTTAAACTGGAAGGTTAGAAATGAAGAGGTATTAGAAATAGTAAGACAACAGAGGACTCTATGGAAGTCAATAAGGAATGGGTGAGATAGGTTGGTAGGACACCTTCACAGGCATGAAGGTCTAGTCAGAGACATATTAGAGGCGGAAACAGGAGTTAAGAGGAGTAGAGGTAGACCTAGATTACATTACTGTTCGTAAATAGTTAAAAATGTGGTTTGTTCTAGTTTTGGGGAAATGCGAAGATTAGCTCAGGATAAGAAAGAGTGGAGGTGCGTGTCCAACCAGCCAGGACTGATGATGATATATAATTGAATTCCACGCGGATAAAATCGCGGACAACAGTTAGTTTAGACTAAACAATTTTCAAGTTTTATTAATTACGATATATATCATTACAGTCTAAAATCAAAGTCACAGTTTTGGTACATACTGATTCGTTAATTGGCCAGGTTCTGCCAGAAATTAAAATTGGGATTAATATAAGCTACATTAACTTCTTTTCTAACGCATTCCGTGGTGGTGGTGGTGGTAGCAGCAATAGCGTCATCAGGTTTCCACTGGAAGCGCATGCAGTTTCCCGGAATGGGCGTCTTCAACCCGATATCCTGCATGGAACTGCGTGGAATATCTTTTTGTAGACCATCGTGATCTATTTTTCTGGCGCTGAGATCATCTTTGGCATACCCTGTGAATGTTGGTTGTAAGTAATTTTTCACATACTTTGAAAAATCTTTCAAGGGTTCTTCATAAAAGGCGTTTCTTTTTACACCGTCAATATTATTATCTTGGATTTTCATGCATTCGCTGTTTTTCATTTCCTCTTGGAATAAATCCTTAATTTTGCATTTCAAATCGAAACCGGGTTCTATGACTTCTTTGCCCCAATAGAGCAGATAGTTGTGATTTTTGAACATCGAGCCTGCATTACTCCTCGGCTTAACCCCAGAGGGTACACTACCTTTGCTAGTGTTTATAGCCTTGTGCTTGTGATGAGAACACCTCTCAACCAGGCTAGAAGCGATCTTGCAACTGGTTTTTTTGTTAGCTCTTGGATTTCTAACTATGTTCCTTTTGGAATCATTAACTGTCCTCTTTTTACGATCTGTATTCGTTGAACTCTCATTTCGGACACCTAATTTCCTTTTTTCGGTTTTGTCTAAAAGATCGATATACTCGATTATTTTATTTACTACCCTTATAAAACATTCCCTGGAAACGGTACTTTCTTCTTGCTGTTGTAGTCTTGCTTCGAGTAACTGAAGTTTTCGTATGAGTAGTTTCAGCTTGTTGTTGTATTCTTCTTTTTTCGAGACCGGTTGTTTTCGGCCAACTGCTTTCGTTCCCGAAGCGTTTTCCGAATGGTCTTGGCAGCCTTCCATGTTTTCAACACTCGGAGTGTAAACGGGTCTCTTTTGGGAATCCATTAATACTCCGACCATTGCACAATTTTGACATGGACAAGGATTTTTTTCATTGTCCATTGGTTGACTGCGATTATGACAGGGGTATTGAGCCCTCACTTTTTTGTAGTTAAGGGATGCGTAAACATGTTCTATAACATCGTCCATGTTTTGGAACAGACTTAAATCGTTTAGATCATCTAACGGTTTGTTTTCGTTACGTTTCTTCTCTGAAGACTGTTTATGAATGTTTGGAATTTCTTCTTGCATAATTGGAATATCAATTGCATCTTTTGTGGGTTGGTTCCTTTCAGCTCTGTTATTAACTGATCGTTTTCGATACTTATAGTTCATTGGAGGTCTAACTGGGGCACTGGCAGCGTTGACCTTGCAGGTCACAGGGAATGGATTCGATGATTGCGCTATGAAACTTTCAATAATTTTCTTCTTTGTCTGCCTGTCATGAACAAGTTCAGATTTTCCTTTATGTTTGAAAGATATTGGTTTATTAATCGCCTCTTCTTCCGGTGGTCGAATCACTTCTATGTCTAAAACTACAGATTCGTCTTTTTTTGGAGACGCAATTATATCTTTAAGGCTTTGGGAAATTTCGAGCTCCAATTGCATCTCAGTTTCATGAGCATTGATGGATTCCAACTCTTTAGCTTTCTTCTCCAAGCTTCGAATAATGTCTTCGTAGTTGATGGAGTACAACTCCGTTTCATCTTTCGAACTCCGCCGAGCTTTCATGTTAGTGGTGAATCATCATTGTATTTTTTTGGAATCAGAATTTAGTTTGAATGATTTTTTAGTTCACTTTACGCATGATTTTGAGTAATGAATGTATTATTGACACCGACAGTTACTTACAGGAGGCAAATGACATTAAAAATGGGCCAGTAAATATTAGAGGCTTATGGAACCAAAACAAATGGCGATTTTAACGCTTTTTAGTTTGATTCTTTACATATCCGACGCTATTTAGAAATGTCCGGTGGAAATGTAAGCTGTAATTTGGTGAATCAAATCGGTAAGGTTTTCTTAACTGCCTAAAATTTTGTGTTAAATTTGGCGCAGTTGTTTTCCTAAACGACTTTTGAAAATAAAGATGAATTAATTTTTATTATCTATGACGTTTATGAAACAAAACAGTCCAATTGACAAATAAACAGTTACGTTATTGTGGCTTTCAGGAACTGCTAATATCGATTTAAAGATCTTCCCAGACGCTCCTGTAACTATCAAGGACTGTTCTCTAACTCCTGATGAAATTGCAGGCAGCATTTTAAATGATATTTTGGAGAGCGCTTTGGATATTGCAACTAAAGCTTCAGACNAACGAAATGACTTTCCGAACAACCCTATACTTTGACATGAGTTTGGTGACTTTTATACATCGATAATTTCTAGAAGTTTACAAATACGAGGAGACATTAAAGAAGTCGCTTGCAACCAAAATGGAGATAAGCAAATCCACGACGAAAGAAACTGAGAAACTGTTCTTTCCGGATACGGTGGGCGATATTACCAACAGCTGTCAATTATGCATAAACCCTTCCGATGGAATTCGAATTTTGGAGGAAAAGACGGACGATCTTGCTTCCCAACATCCGCCTCCAGAATGTTTCAGCAACGATTATAAACTGTTTTCGTCAAGTAAGTCGGGAGATAAAGTAGAAGGACTTGGGGACCACGGAACGATCCAAGATGGCAAACAGCATGGGCAGTACGCTACAACAGAAGTATGCCCAACTCCAAGGATGGTCGAAAAAAAGTCCAGACTCACAGATTTGGTAAAGAACTCTCCCCAAGTCATATCGGAATACCTCAAGGCGGACGAAGACACCAAAAAGAAGCAGGACGAATGGGAAAGAATGCAGGAATCAGTCTTGCGTGTCATTGAATTGGAATGTATCAAACCAGGAGAAGAGCCGAAAGTGGTACCACCACAGAAGTATGAACCTGAAAAAATTGCCCTGCCCGAAGACGGTAATGAAGACGATTTACTAAGCATTCCTCCAAAAGAAGAAAACATGGAAGATGTAGATCTGAATAGAGCAAGTACCAGCAGCGACAACAAGCCCGAAGAGATAATGGGCGATGTGTGTACCATAATGTCTTGTCCCAGAAGAAAGAAAGATACATGCTCCAAACCAGAATCGACCGGAAGTTTGCAGAAAGACAAGCGGAAGAAAGCGAGTTTCTTAACTAAATTCTTCAATTTCTTTAGAAAGGGCAAAAATTCATCCCAAAAGGATGTGCGCGAAGACTACAAATAACTCTTAAGATGTTATTTTAATGACTTTTAATCCGGTCTAATGAACTTATATGCGTACATGACATTGTATATTTTATATAGAATTTTTAACTGTTGATAGTAAATTGACATATACCAAATTAATGTGACTTGTATTATTTAACATCATAAATAACCGCTTCCTTTGTGTGACGATTAAGTTTCTTGGCACGCTTCCACTGTGCAAATCTAAATTAATAGGCGAAATAAACAAACTATAAATTGTACACATATTTATTATTTCTATTACAATGTCGTAACTGATGGATCGTCTAAAAATTTAGTGAAACTGAACTGAATGAAAACATTACAAAGAAATGTATCCATACATATATACAAAGTTAGACAATCAAAATAATGTCAAAAGTTATCATTAATGGTGTAGCATTCTTTGTCTTAAGAAAAATATTTTCGTGCTCTGTCATCCACTTTATACTCCAAATCCTTTTTTGAGTCGCTATAAAATAGGTCTGAGAATAATTAAGTATGCTTTCTACAGTGGATGTCCTGTTTTGGATTCTAGTAGCATCTTTTTTGTAATTAATGTAATTATTCTAAATATAATATAATAATCATAATTATTGTCGCTATTTCAATACCACCCCTACTGTTATCGTTTAATTCTAGGTATTATTAGAAGTCGTTCTAGTGATCCTTACCCCTTGGTACAAATGAGTATTCAAGACAATTCCGGTTATTTGTCTAATTTTAACATTTTCTGAAATATGTTTACCAAAAATTCATAGTTAAGTACTAAAAAAGGGATTATTAAAAATAAATAAATTACTCCAAATATAAAATTTATTTATGTCAAATAAGAAATACAAAGGCGTTGCGTGATGATGTGCCTCATCTAAATGTGTAGATATCTACAGCCAATTGATCAAAATCCAAGATGAAATTTTCCATTACTTTATTTGATCGGTTGTACAGAATGTAACGTTTTCTATTTATTTATGTAAGGAACCTCCGTCAACAGGGTCGTAAAAACTGTTTTCAGATCTTCGATATAAACATTTGTAGCAAAACAATCGGACTATTTTAATTATGGATTACCTTAGGGTCATATTATAAGCAGAAACAGGAGTTAAGAGGAGAGTGGTAGGCCTAGATTAGATGTTGCTGCTGTTCATAAATAGTTAACGATGTGGGATGTCCTAGTTTAAGGAAAATGAGGATATTAGCTCAGTATATGCAAAGTGGAGATGCGAGTTGAACCAGTCTTCGGACTGACGACCTTATGATGATAACACTATAATATTTTAAGTCATTGCAACAAAGAGGTTCTTTAAATGTATTTTTGATGTCCTTACAACCACTATCCTTTTGTCTTGGTATAGAAATGAATAAAGCTAATTTAGGTCATAGTCAAGAATTTAAAAAATGTTGTAAATAAGTTTTAGCGATTAGGTTATGGTTAATTAGTCAGGGCAACCCAACCTAACCATAACCTAGCCTTTAAGAAATGCAGAGATAGCATCAAAAAGAACTTTTGAACTTGGCACCACCAGGAAAGCGCCTGCCAGATTTGCAATTATGTAACTGAAACTGATCGTACTTCACTTATTTTATAACGAATGTAAAGATTTTCCTTTTCCTTTAATATTTTCCTGTAAAAATTGCCAATTTTGTGCAAGTGTAACGATAATATTATTTTGTTTTATTTATCTTAGACTGATGTCTACATTCTCTCCCATTTCCAATGCTACAAATTACACGCATCTAAAGAAGGGGGTAGAGAAAAGACGAAAAGGCACATTAGGGCTGGCGATCAACAGTGGCGTAGTTAGTAGAGTTCTAACCAGGGTATAACCTTAGACAGAGGGACCTAAGGACTATTTAAAACTCCAAACAATTTACATGAAATATGCAGGTTGTATTAATGAATGATGATTTTCATTTTAGATTTTCGAAAATATTATACTGTTAAAAAACTATTGAAAACTTGACTCGGAAATTGGTACATTCAGTTGTTATTTAATAGTTTTCTGTTGTTTGCCATACAAAAAGTTTTTACGTGAATTACGGGTCAACAGTACTGATTGATGACTAATATTAGGTGGAAACGTGTGACACATCGTCAAAAAACTCGTCTAAATTTATCCTCAATTACCCAAAATTGAATGTTATCCCGATCTTGACCGGACTACTTGATAGCCGAGACAAAACGATCTATTTCCAGTGCTAAATCGGGGTCGAAAAGGCATCGGTTGGCAAGCAGAGAACTCGACCACCACTCTGCCATAATTTTGGATAATGATACGGGGAAAGCGAGGTTGCCAGAATAAAATCCCAACTATTTCATAATCTGAAAGCGCCATCTAGTCCGTTCATACGTTCCCGAAATATTCCCTGAAGTCCCACTTCTCGTCGACAGTACAAGAAGGCAAGTTCAGTACAACACACAAAATGGTAAGGGGCTTTACGACAAGGCTTTTCGCATTTCCTTTTTTTTTACGAAGCTTTTACTAATATTAATCGTCCAAATCAAACGAAAAACTGAAATTATGATTCAATGATCTTTATATTTTGACGCTTCTTCAACTGTTTTAATCAGCTAAAAAGAAATTGATGATTACTTTTTCTTTACTTGTTCTCTGGAACCTTTTGCGTTGCATTTATTCGCATTAGTTTAAAGAATAATAGCAATTTTTTTAATTTAAACATCTTTCGGATTGTCAAATTAACTGTCTTACCACAATAGGAAATTTAATTAGTAAGTGGTTGCCAAAGAATTAAAAAGAAGCTCAACTAATGGTTAATGTTCTTTACGATTTTTTGCTCACTACATATGGATTCGCATTATTAGATTTTGCAAAACTTCAAAGACAAAGAGCTTTGATTATTTCTGTTTTATAATAATCTTTTGAGATCTTGCAATTTATAAAAATTAATTTTCCAATTACATTTGGAATTTGTTTGTAAAAATCAAATTACAATTTTTCACGGAATTACCATTTGTGCCTGTAAATTATCTCATTAAATGCAGTGATTACAAAGACGTGATTTATTGAATGCTTTATGATTTTTTTTAAAACACCTTTTTCGTGTTGTTGCAGGCGGACCTTAGTGCCAGGGATATCGAAAGTAAGTTCATAGTGTAGTGTTCGGTGCTATTTTTAACAGCGAATAGGTTCGCGCCATGACTTTTTTTAAATATTTCGTTTAGAGTTTCAAGCTGGTTTCTATTTTTGAATCGGTTCTTATTTGGATGGAACCGTTTCGCTTGTCTCACTTATGCACTCGTTGTTATAAATACAACTCGAAATGTGTTTTTGCACAAACAACAACCGTTAATAGGAATCTATTAAACAATTTTATTTTTTTCTATAGTCTTCTCGGATAAAAACGCTTGACAAACTTATATAACTATTTCGGAAACAACAACAGCAAAATTAAATTTATATTACAAAAGATGTTTTTATTTCAATTAAGTATTAAATTTAATTTTAATTATCAATAAATTATGCCCCAAAAAAAGATTCTTTTAATGTAATATAAACAAGTAGTACTTTTTAATCTATACATCAGTAAAGACAGTATAACTGTAGGGATAGATATACAGGGGCAAAAGATTAGTATGCTTAGATTTGCAAATGATATAGCAGTATTAGCATCTAGCAAGGACGAGTTAGAGGGGTAGAGGTAGACTTAGATTAGATTACTGTTCACAAATAGTTAGGGATGTGGGATGTTCTAGTTTTAGGGAAATGCGATAAGCACAGGATAAGAATGAGTGGAGGTATGTGTCCAACTAGTCTTAGGACTGACGACCTTATGATCATAAAATAAATAAAATACAAGAAATAGTTACCAGTAATTGTTAGGTTCAATAACTTTTAGTACCACGAATATTTTTCAGAAATATTATTGTTCAAGTGTAAATAACTGACGTAATAATTGTTTTCTAATTATTATTAGAGTTCAAAACATGCACTTAAATCGCAAAAAATTTAGGGTTAATGATAATAAACTATCTATTTGAAGAATGTGTATTATTGTGCGCCACATTTGGTGGTGTGTCATGTTAGCCTATAATTTTCAAAATATTTGGCACAGATTATGGTCCAACTTTTGTTACAAACTTTAATTCATCAGCCCGCTGGGATACTAATGTTCATCGGTGCCAGGATGTTGATAAAAATAAAATTACGTGTGCTATTGCGTAACAATTGACGCGTTTGCTATAAACCTGATATTCATTGTGGAAAACTTTTTAAGACAATAATAAGTAACAACAAGGACGTATTAACAATCGATTATAAATTATTATTTCCAAAACAAAATTAATAGATACAAATAAACGTGCACATGTACTTAAACGAATCTTTTATAGCAGTAAGATAATAGAGAAGACATAATTTGATCAATGTTTTTATGGTAGATTAGGTACAAATTAGTTAATAGTAAAACAAATTCAAACGTACCAAATACAAATGAATTTATTTTAAATTAATTCTAGGAGCTAACTTCGTCTTCTCCATTTACGACTTCGAAGGAAATGGCACAGTCGATGCCGTTAACCTTGGAGATATGCTTAGGGCCCTCAACCAAAACCCAACCTTGGCTTTTATTGAAAAATTAGGTGGAACAAAAAAGAAGGGTATGTAGCTTTTGCAAATAATATAAACATACTTGCTAAAATTGTAACTGGAGGAAACGATTTCTGTTAAATCCCATTGGGCCAATAAAAATAAATAACAATGCTTGGAAAATTATCAGAATACTGACTGATATTGATGACCGTGGTTAAGGATAGTTTCTCCTCCTTGGTCGAGGACACGATAGAGTCATTTATCATATATTTCGCCAATAGGTGTGGTTGTACACTCAGGAAACATGAGAAGGGTGCAAAGTGCTTCGCTGCTGTTTTATTACCTCAGCAAAATCGCAGAAAAAGGCTGAGTTTCAGTACAATCGCGGTGAAGGATTGAGTCGGTAAAATCCAGCGAAGGACGGCGTCTCATATCGACCGTAGCGAAGGACAGCGTCTCAGTTCGACCGTAGCTAAGGACTGCGTCTCAGTTCGACCGTAGCGAAGGACTGCGTCTCAGTTCGACCGTAGCTAAGGGCTGCGTCTCAGTTCGACCGTAGCGAAGGACTGCGTCTCAGTTCGACCGTAGCTAAGGGCTGCGTCTCACTGTAACCGCAGCGAAGGACTAAATCTCAGTGCTACCCAGGAAAGGACTGAGTATCAGTACAATCGCAGCGAAGGTCTTCACGTTCTTGCTACGCTTCCTGAGAAACGTTAGATAAGGAGAAGAAGTAATCCTGAACTACGACTATAAACCCAGAATATTGAGAAAAGGAAAAATCCTCTTTGATATTACTTAAAACAGCTGCAGCTGTTGTTAGCCTTTGTTTTAAAAATAAAAATTGGTTTACACTCATATAAATAACTTTTCGTTGAAGCTATTGTGTTGAAAGTAAAGGGTCTGTTGTTTTCCAGGTGAGAAGAAACTCAAAGTAGAAGAATTCTTACCCATTTACGGTCAAGTTAAAAAAGAAAAAGAACAAGGCACCTACGAGGATTTCTTGGAATGTCTGAAATTGTACGACAAAGAAGAAAATGGTAAGATGATGGCTGCTGAACTTGCACACACGCTTCTTTCCCTTGGTAAGTGTTTATAATATTTCGTTACAAAAATTTGATTTCCAAAACAAAAAGCAAAACTTTGTAATAATCCTTTTTGTTTCCTATAGGCGAAAGGTTAACAGACGCTGAATGTGACCAAATCCTTAAAGACTGTATGGACAAAGAAGACGATGATGGATTTATTCCATATGCTCGTAAGTAGTTTTAATATATTTTGCTATTAAACAACATTACATACTTCGATATTTTTCTTTCTAGCTTTCCTCAAGAACCTCATGGCATAAACAATTTATCTACACTAATTTTATTCTGTAAGTAATTATAATTAAAAATGTACCTAATAAAGATTTTCAGATTATTTGAAAGCAAAAAAAGGAATTCTATTAATTAGTTTGTTGGATGATTGTATGTCAAAATTAATTTTCCACAAATAAATTTTCTAATAGTCTGAAAGTCAAAATTGCCTACTGCTTCAAGGTAGCTTCTAAATGATTTTGACATGAAATTATTATCGAATTTTTTAAAAGCCAAAATTGGAGTTTTCAAATGATTTCGCGACTAAAATTGGTGCTCTAAATTACTTTGCGTGCGAATGGAAAACTAAGTCGAATTTAGATATTAGATCGACATTGATGTACATTTTTTTGTGTTCCAGCCTTTTTGAGTGGTCG